GGGAACGGACCCCGGCGGCGCGTCAGCGCTCCCGCCGAGCCTTTGTCGCCTTAAGCTTTTTCCTGCGTGGTCGTTCCCCGTGCGGGGGTTTCTCCCACCTTCTGCCGCTTGCGGCGGGGAATACCGTTCCAACAGCGCCGGGGTAGAGCTGGTCCGGCGGCGTAATGTCTTGATAAAGACGTGGGCATTGAAGGAAAAATAACTTTCACATTATTAAAAGAAGTAAGTCCCAAGCTATAGACGTACTTGATGATGTATTCCAAGAGGTATGGGCAGAGGGACTGTGTACCTTAGCTGTCACATACTCTCACAGAGATGCCTAGAAGACAGCCATTAAGCAACAGCTGAGTAAGTTTTCTTACTGTCATTCTTTTTCTGCATTAAATGCATTTTGGACACGGTTCTGGTCATCCAACTCTATTTTATTTTAACAAGGGAACAATAGGCAAAAGTATCAGTAGGTATGTAATACTTGCTCAAGCTATACTAGGAAGCTGATGTGGAGGATGCAGCGGCTCTAATGCAGCTTTTAAAATGCCACCAGTAACTCATCTGCTACAGGTCTCGTAAAAATCTTGAAAGCTGAAGAGCACCAGGGGTGATGGTTCTTATTTACAAAACAACCCAGACATGCAGTTTTCAACTTCTTTGATTACATTAACACAACTGAATTCATTAAGCTGACAGAGGTATTAGGTGTTCAACTTTAACGTTAGCCTGGTATAAGTAAACTAACTTCTAATATGAAATGGCACAGAGAGGCTAGTAAAGGCTGCTTGTGTATGGGATAGCTTCTGAGTTTGAGATGAGTATCCGCCACCTGTGAAACACAAAATCAATTTTTATTTGGCATTTTCTCATCAAGATCTGATTGGAACACCCCATCTTATTGGGTAGTGTGTGCAGGTGTCGGCAGTTCAGTTCAGGGGTTAATAAAATATTGTTGTGCCTTATCAGATCTCTGACTCATAAAATCCCTCAAGGACACTTAACAGAAATTTGACATTTTCAGTTTGTGTATCTTCTGCTGCTTATGATGTATAGTCACTGAAGGTAACAAGGAGTGGTCCTCCAGCTCTCCTTCTGATACAGGAATTGAGGGCTTGCACCAATAAAGCTGAAAGACCTTACTGTTCTTACTCTTCTTGTTGGAAAAAGAACTTATTTTTCCAAGCTTCTGTTTGTTCTTGCAGTGGTGTACTGTGATGCCCTTCTGTACCAGTATATTAAGACTAAAAGTAGTGCTCTTAAAAATCAAATCTATTTAGGGCTCTAAGTGAACTCTTATGTACAAATTGGCGCCCCTAAGACTTCTTACGTTAGATATCAATAGTTGAATATTTAAAGGTACCTTTAAAGGTTATAAACCTTTCATTCCAGGTCTGTCAGTTATTCTGAATATAGAAATCATTGCTTGGGGACAGAATTTCTGGACTGGATCAAGTCCATGATTTCTCTAGCCTCCTGTGTTTCCAAAGAAGACATATGAAGTCCCACAACAAGAGCCATGTGGACAGCCTGTCCTCCAGTAGTGGGGCTGCTGTGATCCCAGGAGTTTGAGATTATCAAAACTTGTTTCATAAAAACAGTTCTGTATCGAGAAGATTTATTATCCATAAATGTAATTCGTGCCTACAAGCTGCTGGAAGCAGTAGTTTTAGGCACAAACTTAAGGCAGTGAGCTGATATGGTTTCTGAAAATCTCTTTCTTTATTTTGAACTTCCTGATTTATTTTTTTAGTTGATTTAAATTTCACTTTGCTTTTTTGCTACAGGGAGAAGCTGATGATTTCTTCATTAGTTTATTTGGTGTACTTAGAACTATAGGAGAATTTATGTTGGAGTGTGCTTCTGGAGGTCATCTAGTCTCCTTCTCAAAGCAGGGCTAAGTTAAATGTTAGGTCAGGTTGTTTTTCTGGTTGAGTTCTGAAACGAATCGAGATTCAGCAATCTTTGTGGACAGCTACCCTGTTATTGTGGGGTTTTTGCACAGCTAATTGGAATATCACTTGTAGCAATTTGTGACTGTTGCCCCTTGCCCTCATTTCTCTTAGTCTTGGGTTAATAATTCCTTTCTTTGCTGTGGAGAAAGGAAATTTTTTTTTTCTGTTTGTGTATCAATACTTTCTTTCCAAGCATCACTGAATTCTGAAGGGACTTTTGGGAGCTACGAAGTTGTACAGCACAGGCCGTACATATTATGCAAGCTAGATCCCTGATCTTAGTCTTGTCTGAATACTTGCAATTAAATACAAAATAGTTACAAAGACTGTCTCCTCTTCTTTTTACAGACATCCCTGGGATACAGTGATCAAAGCTGCTATGAGAAAGTACCCCAACCCAATGAATCCCTGTGTGGTAGGGGTAGATGTCCTTGACAGAAGCCTTGATAACCAGGGGAGGTTGCATAGTCACCGTCTTCTCAGCACAGAGTGGGGATTGCCGAGTATTGTAAAAGCGGTATGCTTTTCAAGTCTCAATGGTTTATTAAGGGTGTGATGCATTTTTATGTTGTCATCTGAATGGGAGCTGAATTCAAAGTAAAAGCGTACATTATAGGAAATACCGTATACAAATATCACATAAGCTGTAATTAGTGTACTTACTAGCTAGAATACGCTGTAGGCTTTAATATGCCTATAGTGTGTATATGTCTATACACGCCTTCCAGACTGGTCTGTGTCATGCTGTGTGACTGATACAACCTACCAGAATGTAGTATTGCCATTGATTAGTGTTCTGGTATCCATGAATTACTTTGTATTTATTTAGGGTCACTAAGAACTTGACATTTATGCTTCTCAGTTGTTTATTTGTTTGTTTGTTTGTTTGTTTTTAATTTTAGTACTTGACTTTTTTATTTTTTCATTTTTTTGTTGCTTCACTTTCAGATTTTAGGAACAAGTAGAACGCTGACTTACATTGAGGAACATTCTGTGGTAGATCCAGTGGAAAAAAAGATGGAGCTTTGCTCAACTAATGTGAGTGGTAGCTTAAGAAGTTCCTGGTAAATAGTTCTGGAGATCAGATGTTTTGCTCTTAACATTTAGATTAGAAATGTGTTTGCATCTTTCCATCAGGAGGCAGCAATTTCCATGTCTTAGTTGGCTCTTTTTTTTCCCCTCTTCCTTCTTCACAAATAGGAAACTTTAAATACTTTGGGTTCAAATGATTGTGATTCTGTTTTTAATGTAAGAGTATTTCTCAGAATGCATGTAAAATAGTTTGAGCTGAGTAACTTGTTTTACCTCATGCTGCCATTTACAACAAAAGTTTTAATTTGAAATGCCTTTTTTCATAAAATGTAAATGGAGTAGTATGCTATATTTTGGTGTCCTGGGAACTTGTAACTATCAGATTTAAAGCCGGGGTTGTCTGTAGGAGAGCCTTGTCTCTCTGCAAGAGACATTGTCTTTCCTGAGTATTAGTTTTCTGTACACTCCAAATAGTGTTATGGTGGTCTTGATCTTGAAGAGCCTCTCTAAACTGCATGCCATAAATCAGATAAGATTCAACATCCAGAGAAAATGAATGGAAAGCTGTTTGTGCTTTGTATTGTGAATAGGAACTTGGATAGAATTAGATCTAGGATAGGAGAAGATGCATTACCCTTTATAGGTCTTTTTATTGACTGTGTTCTGGGTTTTATATTCTGTGTACACTGCTTTGTCTCTGACATTGAGTGCTCTACTACTGAGTAGTGCTGTTGATAACTGAAGAATGAAAGGTGAGAAGTGAGGATTTCAGCTCTTATTTTTCTTTTTAAGATTACTCTCACAAACTTGGTGTCAGTTGATGAGAGACTAGTTTACATGCCTCATCCTGAAAACCCTGAAAAGTAAGTAAAGATATGTGTGTGCTGCTTTGTGTATAGGAGATACTATGTTAGTCCAATTCGATTTAGGTATTAACTTTTCTTTATTCTTTTACAGAACTGTGCTAACTCAAGAAGCAATTATTACTGTTAAAGGCATTAGCTTGAGCAGTTATCTGGAAAGCTTAATGGCAAACACAATATCTTCTAATGCCAGAAAGGTATATCTTTATTCTGCTTTCTCCCTCTCTCCCCCCACCCCCACTTTTCTTTTTGTTGAAATGGTAATTGTCAATCATGTGTGCTGAATGCTATATTTAATTTCTCTAAACATTATGCACAGAATTTCAACTGATTTTGTTTTAGGACCTCAGCAAGGAGAATATAATTTCCCAAAGTGTGAAAAGGGTTCACTACTAAATCTTTGTTTTTCAACTAAAATTGCACATCAGAACAACCAAACTTCTATGTGTATGCTACAGTGACACATAGCATACATATATTGTTGGGGTTTGGGTTTTTTTCCCCAAAGCACTTTTTTGGACACTAACCATTTATTTCCAGGAGTTAGTGCTAGTAGTGACTATAACTTCCTTTTCAGCCTTTATAATCTGGATTTAGCAGTTAATGCTAGCATATTTTCTATGCTGCTTTGTCAGTTGTTCCAGTTCCTATCCATTATTGAGCTGTCTCCTTGCCTTTGGCTGAAACGTAGCGTAAGCAGAGGCAAATTCTTTGAAGAGGTGAAACTATGCTGGCTTTTGTAGGTAACACTACACCGACTCCTCTGTCTTGTGCTTGCTTTTTCTAGTTGGCTTGCAGCCATGGAGCTGCACTTCAGCACAGACAGAGCTACAGGGGTGCTTATTCTTGGGCACTTTGTCCTGTACTTCCTTGGGGAAGGTGGGAAAGAAATGGAGTTGCTAGAGAAGTATAGGCATCAGCTGCCTAAAAGCAGGATGAGTGCACCTGAAATGTAAGTTTGTGCTCTACATTGCTGGAGAGGTTCAGCGCAGTGGGAATCTGGCCCAGGTAACTCCTACTATGCCATAGAGCCCGTCCTTTGGCCAGCCCTTTGTCCTTGCGAGAGATTTTGCTTCACCAAGGTAGCATAAGCCAACTTGGTAGGAGGTATTGACCTATATATTGAACGACTCCTTTTCCTCCCTTCTGTGTGCTTCTCCAAAAATGAGAGGAAAACAGGTTAAAAGCAGGGGATGAGGAAGGAGTGATGGGTAATTTCTAGACACTGAAGAGTAATTTTAATTAGCTGAGTGCTCTCTGTGTTTGTTTGAAAGTCATAAATGGAATGTATTTCAGTTAAATTACAATTCTGTTCTGATCCAGTTTCCATTTAAAAGTCTGTGTGGGGCATATATTCTTGAAAGGGAAGTCCAAAGCCTGGCTCACAACCAAACTTCAGGCTGACGGGGAGGTAGCAAAGCACTAGCTAGTTGGGATGGCCAGACCAACTCGGCATACTTAAAAGGGCTGGCTGAGCTCCTCTCATAGCATCTATCACATTTGCACGTCTCTACTGAACTCGGAGAAAGA